ACTTGAGACGAGATGCGACAGAAGCACTGCTTGGCAATGAGACCACGTAGGGATTCATCGCAGTGCTGCTTTATAATGACGGCAGAAGCACTGCTTGGCAATACTGCCGTCATTATAAAGCAGCACTGCGGTGAATGCCTACGTGGTCTCACTCGTGCCACGCCATACTCTATGCGCCAACCAACTTCCCTCACACGACAATACTCTGAGAGATAGTTGACTCCTCACACCCGTAAGAGCACAACCTCGACACCTCTCACCTCTGTTGCCTTTACACGGCCAAGTCTTCGAAGTCCTCGAAGTTCTCGGAGTCCTCGAAGTCCTCGTGTTCCTTCCTTCTTCCTTCTTCAGATGCCCCTTGATATTCTGTTTCCTATGCCTTCACAACAGACTTCCTGGGCTTCAAATCGCCATGAAAAGGGAGGAAATAGCAAATGTTTTCCTTCCTTCAAACCACACCAAGCCGATATAAAGTTGTCCTGAAACATCCATGGTCACAAAAGGACACAACAACCAGCGCAAGCTCTACTAAATAAGCAACATTGGCTTATATTGTGGTTGGAAAGCATCACGAATATTCACGTTTCATCCAAGTTGTACAAGCGCATCATCAGACAACCGCACGAGCACAGCATTACACCCGCTGGTGCAACGCCATTGATGACTACGGGCTGAGGAAATTGGGTCTGTGCTATTAATGCAAGTACATATGCCCACAAAATTAAGTTGATGAAGGAAAGGCAAATGAAAACCGCTGAGGCAAAGACCTGACCACCCAGACAAAATCGTGCTCCACAAGTAGATGCCTACGCTGGAGGAATATTCTCATCTTCCATGATCCCCACTTTTGCCGCAGAAGCGCAGAGAATAACCAAATGGAACAGAAGGTTCGGAAAGCAGAAAACAACAAACATGTACCGTTTACGAATGTATGCCTTTGCGTCTAAAGCTGGGTGGGGTTCAGGAAGAACGAGCGGCAGTAGTGTCTCGACAATTATCAGCCCCAGCTACAGGGGTTGCGACAACGGTGGCAGTACAGGTCGGAGAACACGCAGCCCAGGAGACTTGTTGCTGTTTTAAAAATGCCTGCTTTTCCCCGATGTGTACAGAGTCTCCTGGCCGAAGCTCTTTGTACCTGCCTCAATAGGAAGGAACACCCTACCAAGCAACTCAGTGTTCGGCCTCTTCCTAGAGGGAAAGCTACATTGAACACATGATGTGAAAAACCTGTCTCAAGTCAGTATATCTTCCTGTTAAGGTATCCGTCCACTGCTTGTGAAGCACCAATGGATATACATGGGACCCAGTTGGGATGCATGCTTAATGCGGACAATTACAGTATTACTAAAGTGACTCAGGGGATGGCATGTAGAGGCAAACTCGCTGCCTTCAATGTTGGATGCTCCGCCTAACGGTTAATTCCGCAAAGCCCGTATGGTGCTTGCCACTGTTTTCTCTGAGCTGTTGTGGGTAAATGCTAGCGTTGTGCGTGCGCTGTGTAGCTTCCTCCACATGGGGGAACTGAAGACACCGGTGGTGTCTCAGATACGTGCAAGTGGCAGTGGATCTGAGAAGACCAAGCAAAGTAAACGCTCTACGTTCCAAAGCAAAATTTCAAGGTAGGAGTAATGAAAATCGGTCAGGATTAAGCGGGTAAGCAGTACTATATGTTGCCCTAGAACTAAAAAAGCTGTTTTTCATGTGTATGTGGAAATATAATTATTCTAAGCAAGGACCCTGTTTCAACCGCCAATCTTTGAGAGTAATTTCGTTTGCCTTACGTCCCTGCGGAGGCAACTGAAACAACGTATTCCAGCCTGTCATTAAACGAATGAAGGCATTGTGCTCGTCGAGCCTCTGTAGAGCCTTTTTCAGTTGCCTGGGTATAGTAATTGTGCATTTGGGAGCTGATGTGGTATATCGCTTCGTAATGAAAAGCCGGTGGCAGCTGGCATCGCTTTTACTGAAACAGAGCTGAAGCCATACAAGGTGTCGGGATGAACTAACGCTTAGAAGCCTTTCTACTATGTTTTCGCTACATGCATGCAGATTCAATAGTTGATAAGATGCAAAATGAGGCTGCTATGGCAGACACGATGCTTGAGACACCGACTGGTTAGGCATAGTTGTACACATATACTTCTCCACAGTGTTCCAGTGAACGTGCCTGCATATTTCAATTCGCAAATTGTTAAAACAGGGAAGAGCTCTGTGGTTTTTTCCTGGTAAGATTTGTTGATGATCCTCCTTATAGACTGCAGGCATTCCATCGTTGCAGTCACAGCGTGCAACGGCGAACCGTAACAAATGAAGAGAAGGGAAGCTTACGCCAAGCACCTGCGATCGTTTATGGCACGAGCCATAGAAGGACAGTAGGCGCAACAGCTGGAGAAGCAGCAAAGATCAGCTAGGCGTTGAACCCCAACATGACACGGGAGCGTCTCTGCTTGGTGTTTTTGTTTCCCTTTGTCTCAGGCGAGACAGAGACAAGAGGGTCCACAACAATCGTTCTTTCACTGTGTGTCTGTGTGTATTTACTCTTGATGAACTGAGGCTGCGGCTTGTCTGCTTGGTTCTAAGCCCATGCCTTCGGAAAACATAAAGTACAAAACAAAATAAAACTGTTTCCGTTTCCTACTGCAACAAGCCAAATTGTTGCTTGCTTCCTCTGCTTATTATCGGGAGGAAGCAGCGGGACTTGTGCTAAAAGTCACATCTAGTCAAACCTCTGCCACGCCGATAAATAGACTCGAGGATGCCTGCGCCAGCTTTAGATCATCTGCGGCACCTAGCCTGCATTTTTCCAAAGTTTAGGCTTTGAAGCAGGTTTGCCAACGAGCAATTTGTTTCCTTGCAGCAGAGCTTCATTTGTCCATGTTCTAGACTTAACTTGCAGACTAGGAGTATCCGCTTAGAGTAGAATAAACATGAAAGGAATAAAAGTCACTACCCACTGGCGAATACTGGCGTGCGCTCTTGTGAGGTTCTTCCAAGTGAGGCTATTCCCAATGACTCTCTTCTCATGTTATTTCTACAGTGTACATCATGTGCTACATTGTTGGTAGCGGGGCTGCGAGCACACGCAATACAAGTAGAAACTGCTTAAATACATTTGGAATTTCATAAGCATTAATTTACGCCATTGGCATGTGTGTATGCACATATGCATTTACATGTGCTATATATAGCATACACCGAAGATGGATGCATAACTATGCGTGTGACAATGTACATGCAACCACAGGTGCGGATAGAAATAGGCGCAACCTCCCGCATTAATGCAGACGTACACTATATGCCTATATAAAATAACAATAAAAAACGAATATTCTGGCTTGTGTCTTTCATATATGATCTCCTTTCCTCACATATTGCTTTTTCTCCTGAGTCCCTGATTCGGTCAATAATACGGAGTCGGTCGTTTTGCAGTAATCGTCTTCTGCAGAAGTTTCGCACGTTTCACCACCTTTCCCTGTAATCCATCTGAGCACAGCAATTAAGAACAAGAACTATAATGGACAACAAACGCAACCGGAGAGTAGAGGAGCAATTATTAGGACAAGGGCGTGAACAGGAATAGGAGCGGCATGAAGAAGGCAGAGAAATGTCAGGACGAAAAGGACAAAAAAGGCACCAAAACAAATAAACATCACCTAAAGAGCAACAAATAGTAAAAACGTTACAGACCAGAAGCAAAACCCGACAGCCAGAGCAGCCACAACAACAACAGCAACGCTAAACGAGAAGCAACAACAGTGTTGCAACAAGAAGAACGAAAACAAACAGCAGTGATAATAAAGGAGCACGGCCTCAATGGAGAAGGAAGAATATGCAAGATAATAAGACAGCGGCTTCGCCTGGTAATACAAAACACCCGCAGTGTTACGCCTCTGTTCACCTCCGTTCCTGTTGCCCGTCAGCAGCAGTAGCCGGAGGAATTAGCACTCTGCTGCCTAATTGGGTTTGTTTCACCTTACTTGTGTTGGAGGGCCTGTTCAGCAGTAAGACGCTTTTGTTGATCCATTTCTAACAGAGAAGCGATAAAGTCGATCCCCAAATCAGAGATTACTATAGGGCTGTCTGTATAGCTGAAGCAGCACCAGCAGATCTGAACACTTCACGTCTGTGCAGCAGTTTCAAGCACTACTGTTTCTGTAAACGTACTTGTACTCCTACGGTGCAGGAACAAAATAACGGCAAATCTAGTTCGGGAACTGGTGCAGCATGTGTGCATTTGCACATGCATTCGTGAATGGATGAAAGCAAGCTGTTCTTCTGGTTATTCTTCTAGATTGATCCATGTGCATCCTTAGCAAGCAGCGCGCAGTGTGCCTGTGAGTTATGTATAAGGCTACGTGGGATGTTGCTGACTTGATGGTGCCTTGGAGGATGCTTCTGCAGGTGTGGAAAGTAGACGAGCCGATGAATGGATATCGGCCAAACAGCATTACAAAGACAAGAACTCCGAGGGCCCACATATCAGCAGGAAAAGAATATGAACGACGCAGAATCTCGGGGGAGACATAGTGCAGGGAGCCGCATATCTGTGCATTCGGAAACAGAACGAAGACAATAAATTCATAAACAGAACAACCGCTCGGTTTGCTACAGTAGGTACATTTACAGCAAACGTTAAAAAGGATACAAAAACGAGGACGCTGCTGCACAACTGAAATGCGTCTAAGTCATCTACACGTGTTGCTATCTCGCCTCGTGAGTATTCAGCAACGTCTAGATATCAACAAGTTACATCATGCATGCATTGAAATAGAAATCATTGCTCGTCCTTTAGACAAGCATTATACAAAATATGATTGCTTGTAATCAACTGGGTTAATATACTTGTGTGTTTGCCTGTGTGAAAGAATACAACAATGGTCTGGTCTACATAATGCACATCATCTACACAACACTGGGCGGCTTTTTGCAATCAATCACTCATAAAGTATTTATGTATAGAATATTAGTACTACGTATACAAGAATGCAGCGACGAGTAAATTACACTGTTGCACAGATCAACATTGTTTTTATAGTAACAGGAAGTGCACCGGTTGCCACACGCATGATAGATACAGTGTGTTGATGCTGCAATTAACGCAGAAGATTGCTTTAGAATCAATATTATCCGGGAGAAAATTGAGGCTACTGTTAGAACAGGTGAATTAGTGCCAGTATTAAGACTAAATAGTGCAGAGTCAACGCTTGCATTGGTAACTAGGGCAGATGGTGGGACGACGAGAGAAATGCCAAAGTCGAGGAGAATCAAAGGGGCGTCTTCGTCTGCCGATTCGAACATGAAGTTCTCTGCCTTCACATCCCTGTGCATTATGTTAAGAGAATGAAGATAAGAAAGAGCCTCCAGTATTTGTCTGTAACACACAGTAAAAAGCATAAACCCAATATGCACTCCACACACTCACAATAATCCCTTCTAATGAATGCATACACCCCCGTCAGGCAGTTAAACCTGCACAGTATGCATATAGAACTTACATAGTACAAGGAACATATACACGCATCCTGTGGGTTTTACACTGTATCAACCTAATAAGTGTAGACATACATCATGCACTACACCCAATATACACATGCTACATACAGTATATATTTACACATAGCGGTAACCACCAATCTGCTGATTGCACTCAGGGCCCTCGTGGGGATATGCGGGGGTTGTAGCTTACTTGCATAGACCGGCAGCTGTATTTTCATCAAGATGTTTTCTTTTTATTATATAACTCGCGAGACTCAGCCCCTCGCATTTCCCTAAAACACAATAGAAGTACTTTTTGTCTTCAAAGGAGTCGTGCAACTTGACGATATTTCTGTGGTTCAGCATCGACAAAATCTCCACCTGAGGCAAATGCAGCATTGTGCCCATTTTCTTCAAAGTATTTCAATAGAGACAGCAACGAAACAGACAAGCAGTATCTGCGGGGTGCCCGCTCTTAACAGCAGGTGGAGACATCCAATAAACACGCATTAGCAACATTGTTCGTCTTGTATCTGCCGGCAACTGGTAACCAAAAGGTGAATAAGTGCCAGATATACGAGTAGCACCTCATGTATTTGGTTTACTGATTATGGCTGCTACAGAGAGAAGAAAAGGAATAAGCGGACGGCCAGAACTTCTACTGTTCTCTCTACAATGATTTTCCGATGCAACGGAACAAGAATAGACACAGATCCGTCGGACAGATTCTGTTCTTCCGCTAATTTGTAATTATCACTCAGACCCAATGAACCTAAAACAAAGGATCCCGCCTATCTGCCTATTCGTTAAATGCCCTTTCCCTTTTCAGGCAACTAAAGACGATTGACCGTTTCTCGGCCTACCTCTCTTTTAAAACGCCTCCGCGTTGTGTTCTTCCCTCTCAGTCGAGAGCCCTGCTTGATGATCTTGACTGCATAATGCACGCCCGTTTGGGCATCCACACAGTCGCTAACCTGAGAGAAACGAAAAGGCAAGGATCAGCACAAAAGGCAAGAAATGGCTTTCCCTGCTTCATTTCTACCTTGTATCGAGGATGAATTGCAGAACAACAGACCAGCAGCAGCACCATCAACAGCAGCCAGAGCATCACAAGCAGGAGCAGCAGAAACAAAAGCAACAGAACCACCAGCAGCAGCCACAACAGGAACAGCTCCAACAGCAACGCAAGAAGAAACAGCAGAAAAAGCAACACCAGCAGCAGGGACGACAGCAAAGCAACGACAGAATCAGCAATAGGAGCAGCCGAAGCAGGAACAGCAGACGCAACTGCGTACCTCGCCGAAGGATCCGTAGCCGATAAGGTCACCGACGATGAAGCGGTTTGCTTTTGATGCATTTCTGCCATGTATTGAGAAGTACTGCAGAGCCAGCAGGCGACCTAAAAGCCTCTTCCTCTCGACGTGCCCTTCAGTAGCAGCAGCATCAGGAGTTCCCCCTCCTTTGCTGCTATTTGAAACAGCAACCCCCATCTTCGGGAGGTTCCGCTTGAAGAAGAACATGGAACAGCTGTCAGCAACGAAACGAACGGAAGAAAGCACAGCAGAGGAGAGGGACGTGAAGGAGGGAGACTGCAATGATGGTCGCTAGGGCAACAAATGCTCTTTTCTTCGAACACAGGAGCAGAGCAACAAGGAAAAACAAGATAATTTACAACGACAATGGCAGCAACAGCAGCTTTATGTAGTGCCTTCCTTCCAAAATTGTGGATCTTCTCCCTCTCTGCCAGCTTGCCTCCAACTAGAGCGAAGAGTGTAAACTAATGGCCCAACTGTTTATGGCACGTGTGTGTTTGGGTGGAAACACATGATGAGCCTCTCTACATGGCAGCAGCCGGATCAGGAGCTGCAGCATCAGCAGCAGCAGCAGCCGGTAGTTGCACAAGGGCAACTAGACACAAACCGCGGGGGATTCTGTCCACAGTTTTGCAGGAGTTGAAAGGAAACTACATTCTTGCGGCAGGCGGCAGCGGCATTGTTCGGTGAGTGAGCATCGGCAAGAAGTTTGTTGGTTTGACGTGCCGGTGTTCCTACACACCGAGGGATGGGTGGCGGGGGCAGCGAAGGGGGAGGAGATAGGACTCTGCAATTGACCAAGCAAATGAAGTTTCAGCTTGACGTGCAGCCGATGCTGTTGAGGTGTACATGCAACTATCTACGAGCGGCTAACATGGCTCCGTCTTCAGTACATCTGCGCCACAAGGGGCACACCACTGAAGTCCAGGAAATGCCTAAGAGGAAGCTGGAGAAGGGGATTCAGACTAAACACATGAAGTTTGCATGCAGTGCATGCAAGGAGGGCTACTGTTCTTTACACCTTGCGTCGCCAGCGAGGACGGCCACAAGGCAGGAAGCACGAAGAAGAACCCCAGCGCTTATTCTCTACACAGGAAAATAAGACTGGGTTTGAGCTTATAAATAAGCTATTCAACTAAAACATTCATCTACTTGAATGCAAGACCAACAGAAACAACCAACGAGCAGCAGACGGCCGAAGCGATTGCCATCCGCTATGGTTCGACGGTGCAGCTCAGGCCTCAGGCAGAAGCAGCTACGTACTAAAGTCGTTTGTGTGCAGATATTTCAAAATAGTTAGTGAATATTAGTATTTTAAAAATATAGTACCTGATTTATTGAGCGTCTTCCGGGGGAACCTTAATGCGATGCTGCAGCCTGTTTGCTTAAGGTCACTCAGTGTACTACTTCGTTCTACACACAGCGTAAGGGAGGCCCCCACAAAATTCGGCTGGGAATGTAACAGGTTCCTAACAGATCATATATATAAGGGAAACACTTAATCTTTTCGAGGTGCTTTTGTAACTAGTTTACCTTCTCCCGCAGCACCCAGCGAGAACCCGGAACAGGTATCATCAGAACCAATGGAACAATTGAGTCCAAAAACACCTCAAAAGCCCTCTCTCGACGAGTTGCAAGAAAACCAGTTACTTTAAAATATTCAAATAACATCTTAGCGGCATGTCGGCGCATTCAAAGAGCTCTTGGCGTCTGCTTAGCTGCAGTCTGTGAACCTCCTCGTTCAATGCCTTGTTGTCTCTGGTAGTCAAAAGCATATCAGTCTCCCTGAAGCAGGAGAGCTGAGGGAAGAAGCCACGTTTCGGGCGTCCAAACACTAGAGCAGCAGAAATTGCACTACAGAGCTGCACTAACAAGGTTTCAGCACTCATGGCGTTTGCTCCCGCAGAGCCACCAACCCCTACAATTATTTACACTTTGCTCACTGCGCGGTAAAATCTCACTACATTTCCTCAGATGCATTAGAATATGGTCTTGTCATTTACGCCCTAAGCATTCGACATTTAATGCATTAGATCGTCCACTTCTACACTGGCAAACGTGCAAACGCGCGAGGTTCTCGCTTGTGCTCGCCTGCATGCCCTAACATAATCGATCGAGTTAAATATCCAAACGTTTTGTTGTATGTAACGTTATTATTTAATCGTTGTACACTGGATACTCCTCCCCAAACTCGTATAGGACAAAGCGCAAAACAACCCGGCAGTCGATCCACGCAGATGAACCCCTGCCGCCCTACTGCCTTCTGCTGTACACCCATCACTGTTTACTAGCCCAGTGAGGCAAGGACTTCTGTAGAGTTGCACTGGGTTGATATTCTAGCAGGAACGTACGCAACTAGTAAATATATATTGAGTCCACCAAAACTGTAGAGCTATTCTTCAACGGCAGATCGTCAGGCTCCACGCATGCGTGAAAGCTAATCCACACGCATGCATGCACATCAGTTGATGCAATTGATAATTTATAAAGAGAAGTTTGGGATGTGTTCGTTTCCCTGCTCTCAGTTTGCGCGATCTACTGCTATTGAATAATGGTGGGATTAATAATAATAATGACAGTAATAATGATAATAATAATAATAATAATTATTATTATTATTATTATTATTACTATCATTATTATTATTATTATTATTGTTTTTATTACTGTGCTTTTGCTTCATAAAAACCATATTGCATCCGCATATTTCTTTAAATGCGAGAAGCAGAGGTAATAAGCTCCAGTCGATTTCTAACGAAGAACTTGGGCCTGTCTATGGTAGCACCAGTCTTTGGCTTTGGCTGGAAAAAGCTCGTAATTCTGCTTTGCTTCCCTTGAGTCGATTCTGCTGGTTTTTCCTCCTCCTCCTCTACGTCGTCGTACCTGCGGTTAATATACCCCCACACAACAGCCTCCAAGCAACAAAAGCCGATGCATGCATAAATCTCAAATACAGTACCGCCAGCTGCTCCTTTAATCTGCCTAAGCAGCAGCAAAGCCCTGTAATCTTTAAAAATTTGAGCGTGGATGCAGTTCACGCCATACAAAAAAGAAGTACCACAGCGCGTAACGAACAAGATGGTGAATAGTGTTTGTTTCTGTTTGTCTCTTGTCAAAAGAAGAAGTGAAAACATAACACTAGAAACAATAGCGGGCCAAAAGAAGGAGTAAACGCAATCAAAGCCAATACACACCGTAAACGCCCCAGGATACAACATAAGCCAGAGCTGGTTACGGGACGCATGCAGTGCAGGGGCGGCCTCAGCAGCATAATCAGTAGCTTCTCCCACCATTCTGTGGGTATTCCATCTTTCTCGAACAACTCCTTAGCTGTCTGCCAGCTCCAACGGACAATCTCAGGAAAGCCAAAGACTAGGTCCATGTGGTCTTTTAGGAAACCAATGGTCACGCGATCTGCACCAAAACAACTCCACAGGTCAATGGCAGTAAACGGCTGCAAAGTGCAAAGGCAAACGCCAGTCAGGCAGGTGCCGGCTGCAGCCTGTTGCAGCATCCACCCAAACCCTGCAGACCAAAACCCTTTGCATGCAGTCGGTAAAAGGGCAGCTGCCGCCGCAAAAAAGCTATCAGCAGCACCAGTGCCACCGAGCCATGCTGCTGTTACCGCGACATTAGGGGCTTACCTCCGGGATAGCCGCTGCCGTAGACTGTCTCCTTCTCTACTGCTGTTTCTTCCTCCGATGCCTCTGATCCTGCTGCTGCTGTTTCAGCAGTGGCTCGCTTGGGCTGCCCCTTTCGCTGCTGATGCTGCTGCTGCAGCGCCTCCTGTTGCAGTACGCGGAACCTCTTGTTGGGCCTCGCAGGCGAGGGCCACAGACGCAGCGCTCTGTCCCGAGTTACTTTAGCTAAAATGGAAGCTGCGCTTACAACAGGAAAGAGCGAATCAGCTTTTTCTCTTACCTGCGCACATACCACAAGCAATATTTGCGCTCTCCATGAGCTGTGCATACACATCAGCTAGTTTCGTCACTCGATATTCCTGTTCGCTCCATGAATTGATATACTGCATGCGCGACCCACGTCTGTTGCACGCGCCCATGCAACAGGCTTGGGGCTTGCAGGTAGTTTTTTGGAGAGACTTTATTGTGCTTCCAAAAAGTTTTTCTACGGACTTTTCATTCCCGCCTGACTCCTTCCGCATTATACCCTCACACCATATTTAGCTTGAAATTTAAAAAGAAAAGACTCACTGTTATTTTTAAAGACGGGAACTGGTGCTGTAGCTTCGCTTGGTAGGCCTCCGCTTTCCCTACGGTGTCTACGTACACCTGCAGAACCAAAACAACACGTCAACACCAATTAAGGTTTGGATGCAAACCCTAAATAAAACCCCTTCTTCAAACAATTCTAGTAACTGGAGGTACATATACACATACACACAAACACCTGCATGTGCGCGTGCGTCTGCGAAGTACAGAGAGGTGCTACTGTGGCACACAAACAAAACGAAAACAAACCAAAGCGTGTCCTGGGGTTGAGGGTTTCGGGTTTAAATACTGCGGTGTTTAAATGCACCTCAGAAACGTGAACACCCGCCGAGCAAACTGCCGCTATCAAGCCCGCAGCCGCGTCGTGGGAGATGTCGTTAAGGCTGATTTTTCGCCTACAGACAAACACCGGACCCTAAACCCTTCACCCTAAACGGTAGACCCAAAACCCTAGACCATAACCTTTGGAGGCTGAAGATTTAGAGCGGGAGCAGAGCCAGAAGAAATCCTCGACCCTAGCTGGCCCATTCCCCCCCTTAAACCCTAAACCCCATACCCTAAACCCTGAATAGGCTCTACAACCCGCAGATGTACGCCTGACCTGCGCAACATTTTAGCGCTGATCTCCTGAGGGGAAATCGAATGAATCCTCCACCTGCACATCACGAGCACGAACACACCAAAGGCACACTTTACATACACCTTAGAGACACTTTAGAGACACCTCATAGACACTTTGGAAACACCTCATAGGCACTTTCGAGACATAGTAGAGACACGTTGGAGACACCTAAGAGACACTTTAGCGACACCTAAGATGAGGAATTCTAGTCGTAGAGGGACACAATAATAATCAAAAGTACCCGAAAGTGTCCTTTTGCTCCATAAAGGAAGCAAAGGCCGCCTCCCGCTGCTCTTCAGTGAGTCTTTTGGAGTCTGCGCCAACAAATTATAACAAACAACTGCAACACCAACAAGTGGCGACGGCGGACTGCCGCAACATTCAACTGGCCTCGCGACGGGGCAACAGCAGCAACAGCAGCAGCAGAAACACAGCACCAGCATCGGCCCCTACTACTTACCGTCAACCCTCATAGCTTTGAGTGTAGGGACAGCATCAGCTGGACAGTAAAAGCAGGCGTACACCATCGCGCCCAGGACACACCCGCGTCCGGCCTCATCAATACCTGAGATACAATGCAGTGTGCGTACAGTATTCATACACTGGGTATTCCTACGCAGGCTATGAACACCTGGAATGGTGAGAAAACTATCTGCTTGCCTCACCCAAAAGGACATTCTTGCCTTCGCATTGATTGAAATTGGAGTCGAATTTCGGCTCAAACATTTTCGCTGGCTACTCTCAGCAGCAGCAGCAAACCCTTAAAGTTCTAAAGGCTCCCACTCCCCCCCAATCCACGAACTGTCCACAAAAACTGTTGTAAATACACAGGAGGGCAGCAGCAGGGAAGACGCCTGCCAGAAACCAGGAGAGGAGGGGCCCCGGTGCAGTTGGGAGTGGGAGGAGGCAGTAACAAAAGAGAGGCTACAGCCGGGGCCCCTCCTACAGACAAATCGGTGGAGAAGAGGCGGCAAAGCGAAAGCACAAGATACACCCCAGCACCCACAGCGTAACTGAGGCTGATGCGCCTAAAGCGATATAAAAAGGGGATGTTAAGACATCACAACACCAACGCATAGTAACATGTACACCAAATCATCAAAGGCAACAACAACCCCACCAGGGGCCCTTATGAGGGGGCCCCAGGGGGCCCTCACCAGCGGTAGCGCGCAGGGTCACTCAGGCAACTGGGAAACCGGTGAAGGTATGAGGCGCGTAAAGTGCTGAAAAAACATATAATTCATCAATTCAATGCATTTTAATCTAATTTGAGGTTTATTAGGTATTTTGTATAATTGTTTGCCCTTGTCCAACTGTATCTGCAGCTGCATCAGGCACCGCTCCGGTGGTCGTGGCGGCACTCGCCAGGGGACCAGATCTGCTGGGATCGTCTGGCATCATCTGGGTTTCCTGGAGCCCCTACAGCATCTGGGATCGTTAGAATTGCCTCCCCAGACGATCCCTGTGTCTTTTCCCGTTATGCGCACAATCGCTGCGGCTAACCCGAGGGTTTCCATTCGTCGTCAGGTCCAGGTGGTTGCCCTGGATTTAAGGCTTTTAGTTTCCCGGGGATTTAGCTCTATGATACAATAGGGTTTGGATTTATTGGTTATTAGGGTTTAGGGTAATTTAGGGTTTACGTTTTATTGGGGTTTATGCAGTGTCCATGCAGCCCTCTGCCCCCTTTGCCTGTCCGACTCTTCAGAGTAGCAGGAGGCCCCCTGGTGGATGCGCCCAGAGAGGCCCACCTCGCATACTACTGTATGGAGGGACTGCCTGTGTAGCTCCGACCTTCCGCAGGGGCCCCCTGCTACTAGCGTTGTCTGGTTCTTTCTATGCTGCCGTCAGAACCCTCAAAGGAGGCACTCGAATCTTAGGACTTGAGGAGAGCACCCAAAGACTTGTGAACTCTGCAAGCGCTGCTGAGCCTCCACCTGGGGGCGCCTTCGGACTTGGGAGGCCCCATGAGGTAGGGCGCTCCATTGAGGGCGGAGGGGATACTGCAGCAACTGGGAGCCCCTTGGGTGTCTCGGCTGATGAGCTGAACTGCTTTAGGGACAAACTCTGCAGCGACCTGCGCCTTTTGGTGCGCCTCTTCCGGTTTTTTGCTGCCCCATCCGCAGCAGCACAGCCATCACCAACTAAAGCTGCAGCAGCAGCAGCAGCAGTAGTAGTACCAGCCGATGCCATGTTGCTGCCTGAGATGACGGAGTTAGCAGTTACAATCGTCCTTACCCGGGCAAGACTGCCACAACTCCTTGAGACCCTGAAACTCCCAAGCCTTCCTGTGGGTGACCTTGGGACCCCGTTGCCTGCAGCAGCAACAGCCGGAGGTTATCGCCCGTCTTGTGCAGTGAAAGGGGACACCGATGGCTTTCGCAGTTTTAACCTGCTGATGCTTGCAGAGCCCCTCCAGCCATCGCCGGCTATTTGCTACACCCTTCCATTCCCACAGCAACACGAGCAGCAGCAGCAACAGCAGCAGCAGCATCACCAACAACAGCAACAGCAACAGCAGCGAGCACGCGAGTCGGAGTTAGACGGTTCACAAAAGCTCCAGCAACAGCAACCCATCACTACTAGTAGGTGTAGTAGCAGCAGCAGCAGCAGCGCCGTTCGCTGGTGCAACGTGCTGCTGCTGCCGCACGAGGGCCGGCAGCAGCCCAACGTGAAGCGTACAGACTGGGTATTGCAGCGGCAAGAGCTGCTGCAAGAAGCGAGAAGGAGAGCAGCAGAGTTAGGGGCCCCCGTGGAGGAGGCACTTTTGGACAAAGACGGAGCCCTCCTTGAAGGTAGGTGTCCTGCGCTTAACCCAACAAAGTGCATGCATCCTCCTGTTCGTGCTGATGCTATTGCTGCCGTCGCCTGTGTGATATTGTAGGGGATGATGGTGTGCTGCATTAGTCCGAGCGTTGGTTGCTGCTGGCGCTCCTGCTGCTTATTTTGTATGCATGCAGGATGCAGCAGCAATTTCTTTGTATACTCTAAAGCTCGCGGCTGCGTGTTAACAGCCCCTGACTCTGTCTGTCTCCCGGGGGCAACAAGGAGACAGGCGATTAAGGCATTTACTGCTAATGGCTTGGAGACAGTTTTCGAGACTCCCCAGTGGAGACGGAAACAGGAAGAACAGTGGACCGCTGCGTGGATCTCCTCAGCAAGCAGACTACTGCTACCTATCCGTTCCCTCATCAAACCCATGCCAAACACGCAGCAGGTGCAGGACCAGCAACAACAACCCCAGCAGCATAAGCAACAGCAGCAACAGCGGTCCACTTGGATTTCCGTGGACTCCCCAGTGGGCGAAGACGCCCGAGTCTACTGGCTGGATACAGAAGAGACGAAAGCAAACGACAACCCTTCACCGCAGCATCAGCAACAACAGCAACAGCAGCCGGAAGGCGAAAGACTTGCTAACAAATTTGAAGAGTTTATTTTCGCTGTAGAACCTGACTCCCTCGCTGCTCGAGCGGCCCAGTGGACAACAGAAATGGCAGAGGCAGAAGCGCAGCCTATCTTTTGATGATTGCGTGCTGCTTTTGCTGCTGCGGCTGCTTTTGCTGCTGCTACGCTGCAGCGCTTCATCAGCGGTGCGGAGGAATTATTATGTACCGCTAAACATTGGGCGGCATTTGAAAGTCAACAGCATTGAGCTGCCAAGACAGGCAAAAGATGCTGCTCCTACTGTATCCAACTCGCAGTATTAAAAACCTCTTCCCACACCTCAGCAGCAGCAGCCGCTGCTGCTGATGCCGCAGCTGCATCTGGTGCCGGTGCTGCTGCCCACTCTGCTGGGCGAGTGGTTGTCTGCTGCTGGGTGGTGAGCTGTACAGACGCCTCAAGAAAAAGGGCAGAAGAAGGCAGCGTTTGATAGATACAGCAGATCACAACAGCTCAGACCCCTAGCGTCTCTCTTTCTAGATCCTTTAGACCCTTCTATGGTTAGGGTCGGATTATGCCACTCACTGCAGTCACAGCATAGGATGCAATAAGACTAGCAGCAGCAGCAGCCTGAATATGAAAAGGGTTTCTGTGTGTGCCAGCCCCTCTCTGCTTTCTTGATGAAAGAAAACAAAACTAAGAAAGAATCTGCTGCTGCAGCTACAAACAAAAACTGAGGAACGCATTGTTAAGGGTGAGTCGGTACCGCGTCGTGGCTGCGGGCCACACATAGCTAGCATCTAGCAGTGTACTTAACCTCCTAACATATCAGCTAGCTTATCAGCTGCGCATGCAGCTACCTACGCACCTAACTATCCACATACTCAGTTAGCTACTCAGCTTGTCAGCTAGGTAGGTAGCTAGCCAGATGGATATCCAAGTGAACACTTAGCTACTAAGCTGTGTTATCCAGCCTGCAAGCCCTCCAACCAGTTAGCTAGTTGGCCGGACAGTTATCTAGCTTGCTAAAACCCAGCTAACTAGCAGCTTGGGAACCCCCCAGCACGTAAAAGTAGTATTCAGCCGTTTACTCGAGTGAACAGGGAGCTCGCCAGCGGGCGACGGCGCTGTATGTGCCAAGCAATGGTTCTAATGAACGGCAGCACTAAACGCGACGTTATCGCGTCTTTAAAAAGACAGCAGGGAGAAAGAGTGTGAGCAGAGAGGAGAGAGAATACGCACTATCGAGTTCCCCTTAAAACCCAACAGGGGCCCCACATATATGGAACTCCACCCTGCTCAGGGTCCCTCAGTACCGTCCTCCTCAAACCAAACATATGTGTTCATCTGCAGCAGTGGCTTTCTGTTGCTGCTGCTGCTGCTGTTTTTGATGCTGTGTAGGGTGACGGCCATGCGTATCGGTAGGGAGCGGGTGTTGTTGCTGGTGGGGTTGGTGTTCATAGGGGGGTAGCAGTTGTCTGCGTTTTTTTCCTTTAATATCAAATAATTCATTAAATACAGATTGCATCTGTCTACATAGTCTCTCTCGTAGCAACAGAGGCCCTGCATGTCGCCGCCCGCTGCAGCTCCTGCTGGTCCTGCAGCCGCAGCAGCAGCAGCTGCTGCTGCAAGGTAGGCTTAACTGAGCATCATTAGATCCTCGGGGTTTCTTCTGCATCGATTTAACTTTTTAAATTGCTATTTTGTGTCTTTTCCCCCCGGTTTAGCAGATCTTCGCTTCTTTCTGTGGGGCCCCTTCATGTTCGCTTCTCAAGGGGCCCCCAGGCAGCAGCAGCCCGTTACCACCCCAAGCCAGTGCCCGCCTTCGGATACCAAGGGGGCCCCAGGGGGCCCCTTAGCAGGTATCGGTGGGCATGGGTGGGGCTCGCATGGGTCCCTTCAGGGACCGCAGAACCCTCCTGTTGCTGCTGCTTTAGAGGTGCTGCAGCAGGCACAATCTTGGAGCGAGGCAGCTGAGGGCTGGGGGTCTGTGTCTGCCGCAGAAGCAGAAGGCTACTTGCAGGCCCTTTCCACTTTGGCAGATGCATGCGCTTGTGCTGCAACGCGAGAGACAGTGTTGCTGTCCGAGGGGCCCCCCTGGGGCCCCTCCGCAACCGGGGGACCTTCTAGGGGCCCCCCGCTGCTGCACCACCTCTTTCGCGTCTTTTGCTGCGTTTGCGGCCTCTGTCTAGCGGACGCAGGATTGGAGTATGGGGGACCCCCTTCTGCATCAGGGGACGCTACAGGCGCCTCCCAGGGTAACTCTGCTGATCTTTGGATAAGCTGGGGTCCTCCCTTACTGGAGGCCCTTAAAGGCAGTACTTTCGCTGGAGATACACTGCAGCGCGTGGCTAAGTTGCTGTACGTTCTGCTGAGCTGCTTGTGCCGTTCTCCACTGGCTGCTGCTGCTGCATCGCTGCTGCAGACCGCCATAGCACAACAAGCCTTTTGCTTCGTTGCGACCCTTGCTGCAGCCGCAGCAGAAGTTGAGGCTGTTAGAATACCCCCAGTAGGAGCAACGGGAGCAGCAGCAGCAACATCAACAGCAGCAACTCCCGCTGCACACTCCTCTGCTGCCGCAAGTCTGCCATCTTCGGGAACGCCGAACAGCAGCAGCAGCAGCAACAACAGCAGCAACAAGGAGCCGGCCTTGCTGCTGCATATCTTGGGTGCTTATGAGGGACTACTGTCTCTTCCAGGTGTTGCTGCAGCAGCAAGAGGGGGCCCCCTGAGGTGTCTCCACAAGTCGGTGCAGCGGGGTGCTGCACGCCTCTTAGGGAAGGCAGGTAGCCTTGGTGATGCTGCTGTTGCTGTTGCCTCCTGGCTGATATACCATCGTCTCTCCAGCAGCAGCAGCAGCAGCAGCGGAAGCAGCGGCAGCAGCAGCAGCAGCAGCGCTGGGGAGGGGTCGTTTAGTGCGTCCAACGTACGGCATCTGCTGGCGCTGCTGATTGCTGCAGTAAGGCAGCAGTTGCTGCAGCCTGTAGAGCAGCGGCTATCTGCCTCCTGTCTCCGTGAGGCTTTGCAAGAGCCTTGCATGCAGCTGAGGATTAGCAGCTGCGCCCGAGATGCTGCTCTTGCCTTTGCTGCAGTCTGTCTCCAAGCGCTGCAGGCCGCCGCCGCCGCCGCAGCAGCAGCAGCAGCAGAGACACAACCTACCCCATCAACTGGAGCAGCAGCGACAGCAGCAGGGGAAGAAAAGGACAAGGGAAGAGAAGCAGCTGAACACGGGGGAGACGACGAACGGGCCCTTGCTGCAGCGCGTGCTGCTGCTGTTGCTGCTGCTGCTTCAAGGGCTACACCCATTGCGGAGATGCTGGCCCTGCTCTGCGTCTCCAATTCCTCCATAAGGGCCGCCGTTGCATGCAGGCTCACCTGTCTCCCTCCGCAGCAGCAGGACACCCCCGCTGCTGCTGCTGCTGCTGCTGCTGGAGGAGCGGCGTACGGCACGGCCTCCAGCACTCCACTGGAAAGGCAAACCCCACAGCAGCAGCAGCAGCAGCAGCAGACCTCTCCACAGAGAGGCCGCAGCAGTGCCGCCCTCTCGGCTTTAAGTTTACCTGCTCTTTTATATTTTGCTGCTCATGGCGATGAATTGGGGTGTACGTACACCTCGGCTTTCCTTGAGTGCTGCATAAGGTGCCTAGACACCCGAAGTCTTGGGCAGTACTTGTCTACTCAACAGAGACAGGAGGCAGTCGCGGCCCTTGCTGCAAACGCAGGACTGCTCCGTAAGATTCTAAGCAGCAGCAGCAGCAGCAGAAACAGCAGCAGCAGAAACAGCAGCAGCAACACTTGAGGCCAGAGGTATCTTTTGTCACTGAGGTCCAGTAGCTGTGCTATGAGTTGCTGCCTTTGTCTATTGAATGCTTGTGTTGTTGTGTGTTTGTTGCTTCTGCAGCAGCAGCAGCTGCCGCTGCAGCACGGAACGGAAGGAGACAGCCGCTGGGTCTGCGGGGGGCGTCAAACTTGTGTCTCCTTGCTGCCTTGTGGGAAGGGACGGAGACACTTGGGGCAGTAATTGATTCTGTCTGCATGCAGCCCCTTTCTGCTGCCGGTGAGGCACAGCAACAGGAGCAACAGCACCAACAGAAGCAACGAGCGAGTATGTGCATGACACACTAGTGGTGCGTTTGCTGCTGCTGCTGCTGCTGCTGCTGCTATTGCTGCTTCAGGGGAAGAAGCCGCGCAACGGGGTGATACAGCACTGCTGCTGCAGCTGCTGCATGCATCGTTAGACTTGAGTGCATGCAGCAAGGGGCATATGCCTCGTTCTTTAAGGCTGCTGCAGCAAACTGCTGCTGCTCTTGCTGCTGGGCCCCTTGGCGCCCCACAAACAGCAACAGAGGCGGAGGAGGCCTTCCTGCTGCTGCACAAGTGCTGCGAGCTGGTGAGTGCAAGACTTGCTGCTGCTGCCTCTGCTGCCTCTGCTGCTGTTGCAGCAGCAGCAACAGCATCAGGATTGTGGGGAGCCCCTGCGTTTGTTGTCTGCAGTGTCTCCCTGTCTCATGGAGGGCAGTGCCTCCCTTAGGATCGAGCACTTTTAGCAGCAACTACACAACAGCGGCAGCAGCAGCAGGATCTGCTTCCGCTGGATCTGCTGCACCAGCAACAACTGCAGCAGGAACACCTACTGCTGGTTCCGGTGCTGCTGTGGGGCTAACGAACGCGGGGGACACAGAGACATCGTGGACCTGTCCGCTGGTCCGGCGACTCTGGGGCCTAAGCCAAAGTGGTGCGGCAATATTTTGGGGCTGCATGCACATGCACTGTTTATGTTTTCTACCTACGTCTGCTGCTGCTAAGGACTGTGGTGCTGCTGCAGCTGCCGGCGTGGCTGCAATTAGTGTCCAGTAGCTGCAGTTGCTGCTGCTGCTGCTGTGTTTCCTGCTGCTGCAGGGGGTGTCTCTAAAGAGAGCAGCTGGCTGCTAAGCTGCCGCCCTCTTGCTGCTGCTCTTGTAGAGGAGACCCGCAACAGACATACTGAGTTGCGGAGGCTGCAGCAGAATCTGGAGGAGGCGAAGAACAACGTAGGCTAGCTTGTATCTTGGTGCTGCTACAGCTGCTGCTGCTGCAGTTGCTGCTGCTCTAGCTACAAAGAGGAGGGAATTGAATATATATTTGCTTAATGGAGGTATCTCCTTTGTGCTGCAGGCTGTACAGACGGCGCAACGCTTGGCAGTAACAAAAGAGGCGCACGAGGTAAGGAGGCCTCCTAAACCCTAAACACTAATACCAAATGCTAGGGGTTTAGTGTTTAGGGTTTAGGGTTTAGGGTTTAGGGTCTGGGTAATATCTGCAGATGGAGTTGTCTCGAATAAAAGAAGGGGCGGAGAGGCAGCAGCGCATAAATGCTGCTAAGCAGCAACAGCAAGCAGAGGAGACACTCAAGTATGAAGGGACCCCTACACCAACTGTCTCCTTGTATAGACCCTACAACCAAACAGAAAGTGTCTCCTTTTTGTCTCCCCACATTTTGTGTGAGGCCGCGCATACGAGTGGCTTGGGAGAGCAACTGGAGACACTATGTTAACACACGTGGTCTGCTGCTGTTGCTGCTGTTGCCGTTGCTGCTGCTGCTGCAGATTAAGAGAGGAGTTGGAGACAGAGCAACGGAGAGGAAGGGAGTTGGTGGCGGAGTTCCAGCGGCTTCTTGATGCAAAAGAAATGGCAATTGCCAGGTGTGCTCCCTGTTGCTGTTCCTGCTGCTGCTGCAGCTATTGCTGCTGCTGTTCCTGCTATTTCTGCGGGCGGCAGCTGCTGCTGTTGCTCTTAATGCTGCTGCTTGCGCGGCTGCTGTTGCTGCTTTTTTTTTCTGGTATTGCTGCTGTAGTTGCTGCTGTCGCTGCCGCTTTGGGTGCGGCTGCTGCTGCTGCTGTGCGTCCCCTGTTGCTATGCTGGTACATCTGCTTGCTGCTGCTGCCGCTGCTGTTGCTGCTGCAGCCTAAAGAGTAATCTCGAAGAGGGGAGGAGCCTCCAAGGACCCGATGTTTCTGAGGTGTCTAGGGACTTGCAGATACAGACGGCGATTAACGTTAAGCAGGTCCTGCGGCTTTGCTGCTGCTTGCGATGCTGCTGCCGTTACTGTTGCCCGTGCTGCTGCTGCAGTTGTCTTCGCTTCTGGTGCTGCTAGTGCTAGCCGTTTTAGCTTCTGTGCCTTTGGTGCCTGCTATATTGCGGCCTCTGCTGTTGCTGCTGCTGCCGCTGCTGCTGCTGGTGCGGGGGTGCAAGCTGTTGGGTGCTTCGCGCCATTGGGGACCGGTAGCCGCCTCTGCTTGTTTTTCTGGTGCTGTGCATGCATGCATCTTAATGGGTGCAGCTTGCATGTAAGGTAGAGAGGGGTTTTTTTGTGTGTGATTTCTTCTCTTGTGCAGAAGGAAGAAATATCCAAACAAGAAGCAGCGATGCGCGTGCTGCTGCAGAAGCAGCAGCAAACCGCCAGCAACCTCAGTGCCCTCTCCGATAAACACAGACAGCTTCAGGTACACCTGGAGCTGCATATACACCCCAAAATACCCATAATCAGCATATGTACTGACCAACATACATTCACAGGCACACGCGACGCAGCGCTGCTCCACCCCTTCATGCATACATGCATGAATTAATGCTCTTGAGTGCAACAAGCTGCTTGCGGGGAATCCACATGGAGTGGCCTGCTTGGCACTGGGAAGCCCCTGCGAGTTATTTGGCTTTAGTGTTTAGGGTTTCGTGTTAAGGGCTTAGTACTGAGGGTTTAGGGTTTAGGGTTTGCACCGCCTCCAGGAGAGGAGTTTGGTCTGTCTGCATCTCAGGAGGCGAAGGCACAGCTGCAAGTAAATTATGAGAAGCTCCAAGATGATAACGAGCAACAATTCAGGTTAGGCAGTTTCTTGGTCTGCTGCTGCTGCTGCTGCTGCTGCTGCTCCTCCTGGCTGTTGCAGCAGTAGCTGCTGCCTTTGTATAAGTGAATTGTGTTAGTGTCTAGGGTTAAGTTTGTCTCCAGCCGCGGGCTTTGGAGAACTAGGCGTCAGCATGCAGTGGAAGCAGCAGCCACCGCAGCAGCAGCAGAAGCAGCAGTTGGAGCAGCAGCCGCAGCAGGAGCAGACAGCAGCAGAATTAATTCGTGCCTGTTGCTCTCTGCAGACAGCTTATTTTAGTAATGAAGGCACTGGCGGAACAACAAGCGGAAAATGAATCCCTTAAAGAGGCGCGCATGCATTCTGCAGCAAACCAGCAGCAGCAGCTGGAGCAGCAGCTGCAGCAGATGCAGCAGCAGCTGCAACAGATGGCCCGCGAGCAGGAGGTATGTATATCGGTTATCCGCCTCGCTCCCGCCATCAATAGGCATTAATATATTTATATAATATAAATAAATATATGTAGAATATATATATTTAGATTTATTAACGCATTTACGTGCAAATATATCCACATATATTTATATGCACATGCTTGTATATTTACATTTACGTCGATATACGTGTTTGCATGCATGCATGCATGCATGCATGCATACCTGCGCCAGTACACGCAGAGGCGCGCTGCTGCTGCTGCTGCTGCTGCTGCAGAGCAATGCTCGGGGTGCTTCTTTGCGTCAAGTGTCTCTGGAGGAGCAGCTGCGGGCTTATCAGAAGGAAAATGAATCATTAAAGGCTAGCAACCGCAGCAAAGCGACGTAAGGAGTGGGCTATCTCCTGCATGCATGCAGCCCCAAAAATCCCCTTTACAATGAATCCATATCTGCATACATGCATGCATGCTTGCATGTATTTGTGTCCCTCTGGCGATGCAGCACCATCGAACAACTCGAGCGGAGGCTACAAGCAGCAGAAGAAGCAGCAGCGGCAGCAAAAGCTGCGGCTGCTGCTAACAACGACGTCCTCAATCGCATGCAACAGGTACACAGACACCGCAAGTAGCCCCAATATGTCCTTCTGCATGCACTGCATGCAGCGCGTTGCCGTTCCCGTGGCCCGGGTGTCTCTGGTACCTGCGTGTACAGTTGGTTTGTTGTTGTTGCTGCTGGTGCGGCTGCGCAGGAGCTAAAAGAAAAGGAGAACAGGCTGGCAGTAATCAGCGCCGCCTTGCGAGGGGGCCCTTGAGGGGCCCCCTGAGCTGTCTTGAGGGGCCCCACACAGCAGGTGGGGTAGCTGGGGTAGCTTCACGCGGTCGCAACGCGGTGACGCATGCAGCCCCGCTGTCTCCTGTCTCCGTTTTTTGTTGCCTTTTCTGCTGCTCACATGCACCAGCAGTGTTGAGCTCCGCAGCGCCTAAGGAAACTGCTGCAGCAACAGCAGCACAACAGCTGCAGCAGCAGCAGCAGCAATGCTGCAGAAGCAGCAGCAATCCTGCGGGCGAAATCAGGCGAAACCCTGCCGAGGAAGGCGGGCAATGAAAGGCCCTGCACCTTAAACTTTCAGCTATCTAGCTAGCTAGCCGGTTACCTAGCTAGCTAGCTAACTGGCTAGCTAGCTCGATGGCTGACTAGCTAGCGAACTGCTGGTCTCGACTAGCAATCCAGCTGGCGGCCGAGCAGCTATCGACTAGACGGCTAGCTACCCGTCCAACTAGCCAGCAAGCTAACAGGGCACGCAGCTAGCTAGCTAGCTAGCTAGCTAGCTAGCTAGCTAGCTGCGTATGGCTGTAGGCTTTTTTCTGCTCCATAGAGAGCAGGAATTAACTTTTACTGTCCCCTAGGGAGTTTTTCTGCTTTTGTTTAGTTTGTTTGCCATTTAATTACTTAATAGGTAACATTTATTTATTTATTTATAAATAAATAAATATAAATAACAATTATTTTATACTATATTATATCTATTAGTAATAGTAGTACATACTACGTGTCTCTTTTCTCTGCTGTCCTATCTCCTTGGTGCTATACTGTATCTCCTGCCTAATAAGACCCGTCCCTTCCTTCTCTATAAAAGGGAGACACATATACACCCCAATATACATCTATATAAAAAGGAGACACATATACATACACCGTAATTATCTACTTCTGCGTCCTTAGTCTCTTCCTTATCTCCTCCTCATCCAAACGCAGAATGCCCCCACCATCTAAGGGGCCCCCTGAGGGGCCCCCAGAGGCGGCCCCTTTTGTAACTGCGGGGAGGGTAAAGGGACGAGGAGGGCCTCCAGGGGCGCCCAGCCGGATACACAGATCCGATCCCGATCCCGGGGGATCGGATCCCTGGGGATCGGATCCCCGGGGATCGGATCCTGGGGGACCGGAACCCACGGGATCGGGTCCCAAGGGTTTGGATCCCAGGGGATCGGATCCCAGGGGCTCTGCACCTTCAGGGTCTTCTGCTGCAGTAGGAAAAGCATCGCAACTAAAGGAAGGTGGGGGAAGAATCAAAGGGCACCGGTGTCTCATTACAGGGGGCCCCCCTTCGGCGCCAAGGGCGGGGTCCCCTCCAGATGGGGCCCCCGTTGCCTTGCTCACGTCTGTATCATCATTAGGCTGTTCAACCTGCAGCACCTGTGGCTGCTGCTGTTGCTGCTGTTGATGCTGCTGGGCTGCCGCCTCTGCACGGTTGAGGGGGCCCTCTGTGGCTTCTTCTATGGTACTTGCGCTGTCTGTTTCCTCTTCTGCTGCACACAAAGGTGCCCCCATCTTCACTAGCAGCTGATGCAGCTTCTGCTCACGAGCAACTGCAGCACGCAGTGCCTCCATTATCTCCTCTGTGGGGCCCTCTGGGGGGCAGGGTCCTCCGTTCTTGCCGTTAAGGGCCTCCCAAGGGTCTGAGAGGGCATTATAAGGGATTTGTACGTCATCACCGCATATCGGCGACCTAGAAGGGCCGCCATAGTGGCGCCCAGGGCCCCTTCCACGTCCTCCCCCACGTCTTCCTCTTGTACCCTGCTGATCCCAACGAGGAGGCCCTGGAGAGAAGGCCCCCTGTGGATGCCGCTGCCACGGCGGCGGGCGCTGTTGTTGATGCAGCAGGTGCTGCTGGTATTGGTGCTGCAGCGGCACCTGCGGATGCTGCTGCATCGCAGGAATGCTGTCTGGGGCCCCCGGCAGCTGCCTAAGGAGGAGGGCAGGGGCCCCGCGTTAACGGTTGCCCTATGGTAAACGTAAGGGGCCCCACAGCAGAGTAGGCAGCTACAGAAAACGTTGAGAAGACAAAGACAGTCACGCGTCTAGGGGCTCACTGCTGCCAGTGCTGCAGCAGCTGCTGCTGCTGGTGTTGCAGGTGCCGCTGCTGCTGCTGCTACTGCTGCTTGTAGTTGTGGCCTGTCGTAGCACATCTAGGGATAATCAAAAGAAAACCTGAAGAATAATGTAAATAAGACATTAAAAATAACTTCATATTTACCTGGGAACTATAAACATATGCCCTGCTGCCCCAGGGGCCCCATGCGCTGTCAGCTCTGAACCAGCAGCAGCAGCAGCAGCAGCAGCAGCAGTAGCATGCTGGTATTTAGGAGCTGCGAGGGCAGCCGGCGAGTAGCAGCAGCTTGGAAGGATGATAGGCGAGTTGGCTGTTTGTTTATTGTTCTAATATCCAAAATAACGTGTGAGGGTTTAGGGTTTAGGGTTTAGCTGCATCTCCAGGGAGGCCCTGGGGCTCGGCTGCAGCAGCAGTAGCAGCAGCAGCAGCAGCAGAGGTTTGAAAGGACCCACAAGGGAGGCTCCCCTATTTTGGCCCCAAGGTTCTTAGCTGCTCTTTTGGGTAGACAACAGAAACAGCAGCACCACCACCAGCAGCAGCAGCAGCAGCAGCAGCAGCAAGATCAGCGTCTGCTCCCGTTCCCAGCCACGCGATCTGAAGACCCGCGTTCCTCACTTTGTCGAGCAGCAGCAACAGCAAGAGCTGCTGTTGCAGCGGCAGTTGCAGCTGCAGGCTTGGCGACGAGAGCGGCTTCCACCGCGACACCACTGGTAGAAACAGCAGCAACAGCAGCAACAGCAGCAGGATCAGCAGCAGCAACACAGGAGTCTGGCGACGCGCCGCTGCGTGTTGACAGGTGGGATCTCCCCATGATAAAGGCCCCTTATGGGCGGGTTTATCGATGAGTAACCAGATAGGGGGCCCCCCGGCGGGGGGGGCCTCTTCGTCGCATGCTCCCGTGGGTACTGCAGCAGGGGGCCCCCCAGGTCCCAGCAACCCAGCTCGCCAGTTTGACCCAACCCCTCGGAAGTCTATGCGGCGGAGCAAAGGGCACAGCTCGAAGTATAAGGTAAGGAAACATGCAGCATCAACATTTGTTGCTGGGGGCCCCTGGGGTGGGGCCCCCGCTGATCCTCGCTATGTTAGTAGCACAGCTCAAGGTGCAGCAGCAGCTGCTTCTGCTGCTCTTGAGGATCCAGCAGCAGCAGCAGCAGGATCCCGTCGTGCTCATAGCAGGAGGAGGGGGAGGTCCCATCTTTATCAAGGATCAGAGGACATGCAGAGCTCTGTTAGGAAACACCCAACTAAGGCATTAATTGGCAAGCTAGGCATGGCAGCTGGATCAGGTATGACATGCATGCAAGTAAATATACATGCATGCATGGATATCTGCATGCATGCATGCATGCATGCAGATATGGTGCAGCAGCTGCTGCTGGTGCTGCTAGTGCTTGTGTTCAACAGCTGCACATGCTGCTGGTTGGTAGACATGTCTTGTTCTCTCTGCAGTAGCATATCAGCAGCAGCAGCAGCAGCAGCATGAATATTAGCAGCAAGAGCAGCAGCAGCAGCAGGAAGCTAAAGAGTTTGTTTGAATCCTTTTCTTTTTTCCTATCTTATATGTGGTGTATATACAGCTGGTGCAGGAGGAAGAACAGCATTAATGGAGCAAAAAAGGAAATTATATAAAGATACAACACAACAACCTTTATGGGGTGTACGTAAGCTAACTATTAATCCTATTGATAAGGATGATCTTCGTCGTTTTCCTTCGAATTCTGTACATACTAATACATATACTGTAAGTACAATAAGATAATTAATTAATTCATGCATGTATGCATGTATGCATGCATGCATGCATGCAGCCCCAAACAGAATAGCATTTTTATAAGAGATGGGGTAAAGGGGAGGAAAGAAAGACATAAAATTAGTGGATAATAAGTACATGAATGAATAGATAATAAGGAAACGAATAGAATATTATAATAATAAATAAATTATATTAAATAAAATATATTTATTTATTTATTTATTTGTGTATAAATTGCAGTTATTAACTTTTCTTCCTAAGGCTTTATGGCGTCAATTTCATAGATTACCCAATTGGTGTTTTGTCTTCTCCTTAATACTTGAATTTATACCTTTACCTAAATTCCCTGGACAAAATCCATGGAGTACTCTATTACCTCTTGTACTCAGTAAGTTCCTCCTCCTTCTGCTGCTACTGCTGCTGCTGCTGCTGCTGCTGCTGCTGCTGCTGCTGCTGTTGGTACTGGTTCTGCTGCTGGGTGTATTATATATGTCTCTCTGTATATGCTTCTACATAATCCATAAGAACAATTCCTTATAAACTTAATAACTAAATAAATAAATAAAT